AAATGTTTTGACCTCTAAAACCTTTTAAATCATCAAAACTAAATCATAATACAACATAGTTAGCCCAAACATAAGTGATATAATGAATTTTTTTTTTAAAAAATTGATATTTTGCAAAGTTGTGGTATTTTTGAAAAGTGACATTATTAAAAAAAAAATTTATATTAATTAACGAACTAAATCCGCGTGTACACGCCAATATCGACGTTATAGTATAGGTGAATTTTGATATGTCAAACAATTATCAGCTTAATTTTCTTATAAATACCTTACAAACAAATTTTAAAAATACTTTTACAAATTTTCTCAATATAATATCATATTTTAAAAAATAATTCCGAACTAAAGAAAAGTTCCGAACTTCCAAGTGACTATTCAGTTACCCTTTCCAAACAATCTTAACCGTTAAAAAAAAAGGCTCAACTTCCAAATCTACCGTTCAATAAACCCTATAAAGGACAGCGAAACGACTAAAAGAAGAAAAAAGAAGTTTCAGCAGATCTGACTTGTCTCTCGATGGCAGCGAAAAGAATGGAGAATCCTTCTTCGAATGTTACTTGTTTGGGTTTAGATTTGGCTCTTGATGGACCAAACAAGACAAAGATCGAGGAGGAAGATCCTTGTAGTGGAATCGAACAATGGATCGGATCAAATCCAAACCCATGTGTCTCAATGAAGAAACTTCTTGTTCTTGATCTGAATGGTTTGCTTGCAGATATTGTTTTTCCTCCCGCAGGCTATAAACCAGACATAGTTATTGGAAGAAAAGCAAGTAAGTCTTCTTCTGCGTGCACAACAATACTTATTTTGATTGACAACTAATTTCATTTGTTTCTGTTTAGTTTTTAAAAGACCTTTTTGTGAAGACTTTCTCAAGTTCTGCTTTCAAAACTTTCAAGTTGGTATATGGTCTTCAAGAAAACAGTAAGAGATCAATTACCTCTTCTTTCCATATACGTCTCTATAATTGATCTAACTTTGATTCTTTCTTACTTCCAGGAATAATGTGGAAAGAATCACTGAGTTCTTGCTCGGAGATTTGAAGAGTAAATTGTTGTTTTGTTGGGTATGTTCTTCTTGCCAATGCCCTCCTCTGTTTTTGTTTTTGTTTTTCTTCGAAACGAGTCGTCTGGTTTTCAACTTTTCATTCATTTTCTTGTTGTAGGACATGTCTTATTGTGCTACGACTACTGTTGGTTCACTTGAGAATAGGTACAAATATGTTGTGTTCAAGGATCTTAAAAAGCTCTGGGAGAAACATGACCCAAAACTTCCGTGGAAAAACGGTGATTATAACGTAACAAACACGGTCTTGCTTGATGATTCTCCTTACAAGGCTTTGCTTAATCCTGTAAGCTTTTGTTTCTTTATCGTTATTTCTTCTTGTTTGTGTCATTTGAACAACAATAGTTTAGCCTCATTGATGTTTTAAACTTTTTGTTGGAATGAACCATTTGAAATTTACAGCCATATACAGCTATATTCCCTCACTCGTACAACCATCAGAACAAGACAGACACATCCTTAGGTAAACGATTTATTGAATCGTGTTCTTCATTTATCCTCTCTTCTAATTACTATCTATGTTGCTTCGATTGAATTTAGGTAGTGGTGGTGATTTGAGACTCTATCTGGAAAAGTTAGTAGAAGCGGAAAACGTTCAAGAATTCATCAAGAAGAACCCTTTTGGGCAAGAAGCTATTACGGAAGCGAGTGAATCTTGGGAGTTTTACAGAGAGGCGATGCGTACGCACAAGTATGCAATTTGAAACATGAATCGGTAGAAAAAGAGAGGACTTTTGGAAGATTTTTGTACGAGTTGGGGAAAAAAAGATGATTGAATGTAAGAAAGTTTAACTGAGAAATGTTCTCTGGCTACAAACATTTTTTGGTGTGTTTCCATTATTTAAGTTGTTTTGCTTACAATCTGGATTTGTATTGGTATTTGTAGAGATTCTCATTTTGCATTGAGGATTTTGGTTTCAAAAATGTTTCTTGAAATTTGTTATGGTTTATGTTTCAGTGAGAAATTTGCTTATCCAGTATTCGTGCACATCTTTATGGTTGTATCTTCCACCGAGAACAAGTACTCGTCGTAAATTTTTTGTTCCTTCGTGTTTGATTTTTCTTCTTGTTGCTTATTAGAGGGCAGTGGCAATCTTTACAACCATTGTTGTAATGATGAAGATGAAACGATTGAGAAAATGCGTAAAGTGAAGGACTGTGTACAGAGGTCTTATTGGCCCAGCAAGCGTATGATCTTGTAAGCTCTATATTCCTCTCCGAGTCTTCCTTTTGGTGCGATAAATCATAATGGTGCAATTGTGATTTATTGTCTGTCACAAGAACACTATCATGTAATGTAATGGCTGTGTACTATTGTTCAAGTACCTTCTGTCTTGTCAAATCAAATATATGGCATGTACTTTCATATCTCTCTATGTGAAATTATGCTTTGTTTGAAGAAGTTAAGCCTGTTCCATAACGGCGTCCTCTCTATTTCTCTCATAATGTCTATTTTCTCACCATCAGAGGGAAAAACTACCAGCCAATTGATCCAAACGAACCGAGTATGTCATCAGATCCTGAATCTGCAAAATCGTTTTAGTTTGTTAACATTTGTTATTTTTTTAGTTTATTTCAGGTGTCCTTTGAAGACATGAGTGCTTGTGAAAATGAGAGAAAAAGTGGGTCTCTTATCTAGTATTT